CTAGACATTTTGAAGTTGCCTTTAACTGTTGGTTATGTATTGATTTGTTTTGTCTTGGTTTTATGATTTAATATTTTTGAAAAGGTGGAGCTGGTGTATTTCATCATTTTGGTTATTAATTCATGTGTGCTGGGTTGCTCTGCAGATTTCTTTGTGATGATGGAATCTTTGTGTGGAATGTGGATGCAGTTCTCTGTTCATCATGAAGGGGGTTTAGAATTCGAGCTGGCAAGTGCTGTGCTGGCTTAAAGTGGTTTTTCTATTGGATGAGGCAGGAGAGAGGCAGAAAAAAGGAAAAAAGGAGAAAAAAAAGCTCCAAGGCGCCAGTAGCCATTTCCAGGGCTTTGAGTAGGCTGCTAGTGATGATGTTATACTGTCACTCACAGGCCCACTGCTCAAGATTGGCAAAGACCTCAATGGTCAGAGGACCACCACTTTCTGCAAGGTTCAGACAACTGCAAAATCCCCATACTCCAGGCCCCTCCATGCCAAAAAGCTGTCCTGGAATAGTTGAACCACTGACTCATGCTGCCAGTTCCTCCCAGGGCCTGCCCACCTGTGGCATGCTTCCTTCTCTGTTCCCAATTCAGCAGCACCCTGAGCCAGAGAGATCTCTGCTCCACTTCTCAGAAATGGTCTCAAAGTTACTGATAAAAGCAGGTGCTGTAGGTAGATCCCTGGAGTGGCCACAGGTCCTCTGGTGCATTCTCTCCACTTCCCAGGGAGCCCTCTGATGCCCTGTCTCACCAGCCAGTTGGTGCTCCACAGAGCAGGTTCACCAAACCATCATTTTAAAGAAATCCCTGACCAAAATGAATCTGACAGTGGCTTTTCTTTCTCTCAAAGTTAAAAATCCTTTCTTTCTTGTTCAAAGCCAGGCTTCCTACATTTGACTCTCAAAAGACATGGCTGGTGGCAGGGCAGAGACCATCTATGACCTGATATCCCTGGATCTCAGTGTAATGAAGAGGGCAAGGTTCAGTCAATCATGTGAAGATTAGCCAATGGATGAGCTTCTGCATTTCTGCCTCCTCTTTATAGGCCTCATTGCACCTAGCTCCTTCCAGCCATTTGCTTTTCCTAAATCAAAATGATCTCCCTATATGCATGTAGAATAACTGCTCAGAATAAACCATATGTCCAAATTTTCTTTTTGTTTTATTTTTAACACTAACAATATCTTTAAAGTGACTATTTGGTTTGTGCCTCGAGCAATTAGCTTGGGAACATGATATTACAAAGGTGGAGGAGGTTATAAATCAAGCAATATATATGGCATAGTGCCTAAGGCATTTGACTACTAATTAGAAGGCTGGTGGTTCAAACCCACCAGCAACTCCTCAGAAGGAAGATTGGGTGATCTACTTCTATAGAGATACCACCTCAGAAACCCAAGGAGGAGTTGCTATGAGTCAAATTTGACTCAACAGCAGTGAGTTATTTTATTTATTTATTTTTAAATAGGATCAGAGATGTCTTTCTCCTTCCTCTCTCTCTGCCTCTCTTCCCCAGCCTCCATGGGATGCAATGAGGTTGAGGAATTGTTAAGTACTGGTGGGAGATAAGATGGTTATTAGCTAAGAAGAGTTAGCCCTAGACCTGTGTTACAGATTAAGTTGTGTCCCAAAAAAATATGTGCTGTAAATCCTAATCCTTTTATGTATAGACATGACCCTATTTGGGAATAGGGTTTACTTTGTTATGTTAATGAGATCATATCAGTGTAGGGTGTGTACACTGATAGAGATATGACAGAGCAAAGTAGGCACAGAAGCCAGCAAGCTGGAATGGGAGAAAGATAGATGCCATGTGGAGATCTCAAAGGAACACCAAGAAGACACTAGAGAAACTGAGATAGGGATTTTCCCTCAGATTGGACAGTGAAACTTCCCCTAGAGCCAGTGTCCTGAATTCAGACTTCTCGACTCCTCAAAAATAAATCTGGGTTTGTTAAATCCACCTGTGTGTGGTATTTGTTATAGCAGGGCTAGAAACTAAGACAACTTGCTTTCCTAGAAATGAACCAAGTCAAATTCTCCACAGATATGTACCCTAGGCTGAAATGCAAGTTAGATTAAGCTGGAGCTGCCTGGACAAAGAGATAGAGGTCATGAAGGGACAGAGAAGGGTCTCACCTCAAGGGTATTAAAGTGAACCCCAAAACTGAGGTATGTGGCATGACTAAAATGCTCTCTCAGGTCTAAATTAAACTCCATTTTGAATCAAATTGCAGCTTGGCCTAAAATCTCTGCTTCTGGTGCTCTGAAGATGAGCTCTGGTAACATAGTGCCTAAGGCATCTGACTGGTAACCAGAAGGCTTATGGTTCAAACCCACCAGCCACTCCTGGAAGGAAGACCATATTGGGTGATCTGCTTCCATAGTGATACCATCTCAGAAACCCAAGGAAGGGTCTCTATGAGTTGGATCCAACTCAACAGCAGTGAGTTTGGTTTTTTGGTTTGGGGCTCTGAGGAGACAATTCAGCTTCCTGTAAAAATTTAACTGCTTGTAACCCAAAAGGAAAGGAGTGCTGGTGGTGTAATGCCTAAGACATTTGGCTGCTAAACAGAAGGTTGGAGGTTCAAACCCACCAGCCATTCTGCAGAATGAAGACTGGACCATCTACTTTGGTAAAGATTTACATCCTTGGTGTGGTATAGTAAATTACATGGTATGGCTTTTCTAGCCATAAGTTTTTGTAAACTCCATGGTGGAATTTGCAGTGAGCAACTGAGGAGCTCCTGATTGTTAAAGTTATCCACCTGGGCTATTTCTGTTGTGAGTAGCACAAAGCAATGTTCTGGGAAGTTCACTCTCTCTCAGGTGTTTAGAATTCTGACGTTATGATTGGTTAGTTTGGCCACTCTGCCAGGCTCAAAAGGAGCCCTCCTGGAAGCAGAAGTCTGTCTGACTCCTGGCTGCGAAAGACATGCTGCTGAGAGACACATGCTGCTGAGAAAGAGACGCTAAGAGACACATGTTGCTTAGAGACACCGAGAGACTTGCACTGGTGGGAAAGAGACTGAGAGAGACTGTTGGCTGAGAGACTGTTGGCTGAGAGAGATTGAGCGCTGTTCCTGAACTTGAATTGTAGCCTGGTGCTTCCTAATAATCCCTACAATCTGTGAGTTCTGTGTGGCCACTGCAGTGAATTATTGAATCCAGCAGAGAGGTGGTGGGTGCTGTGGGAGGAACGGTTGGTGTCAGGGTTGGTGAAAGGGCTGGAGAGAGGCAGCATGTCTGGCCATGCAGGGATAGGCTACTGATGTGATTCTGCTTCCTCTGTGGGGTTAGAGGAGGTCAGAAGGTGTGGCCTCCTTGCCCCTTTGGCACTTGGAAACCAAAAAGAGGTCACTATGAGTCAGAATTAACTTGACAGCAGTGAGTTTGAACCCAAAAGGAGCAAGGGAAAAGATTTTAGCTTGTGTGAGGAATTATTTGTTAAAAGATGTTTGTCAAGAGTGTTTGCATGGCTTGATTCAAAAAGAATGCCTTGATCAACACATCCCAGGAGGTTAGGAAACAGAAAGAAGAATGTTGAGAAGGATTGTAGTTTAACAAGCCCGTTGTAATTTTCTGCCATGTGTCCTCTTATGCCTGCGAGCACGAGCCCTTTGTTTGCTCCCTGCATTAACAATGATGTTCTCTTCTTGCAGTTTGGAACTCTCTAGTACCCTGCGTGGGTGCTAGTGGTCTCCCAACTCTCAAGTCTCTCTACCTATCAATACAACTCTGCCTTCACTTCTAACAGAGTGTAAGACTGGTGCTTCATTATGACGAAGGAATGAGAGGTGGTCTTCTCTAAGGAGCCCCTCTTTAAATGCACAGACTGCTCAAAGAACAGAGCCAAACAATTCTCTTTAGGTTCCCTGTTGTTGCTGTTAGAGGTCGTCAAGTTGGCTCCAACTCAGGGTGACCTCATGCACAATGGAACAAAACACTGCCTGGTCCTGCACCATTGCATGATCACTTGCAGACAGAACTGTTGTGACCCATTTGGCTTTTTCACTGACTGATTTTCAAGAGTAGATCACCAGGCCTCTTCTCCTAGACTGTCTTAGTCTGGAAGCTCCACTAAAACCTGTTCAGCATCACAGACTCTGCTGACAAATGCATTGGCCAGGAATTGAACCCAGGTCCCCCACAAGGATGGTGAGAATTCTACCACTGAACCACCACTGCCCTCATTTAGGCTCCCTGGGGACCCAGTAAAGCTGATGTCTTTTATTTAAGAAGTGCTTATCCCAAGCTACAGGCACCTCCATCTCTTTTCTGGAGGCAGATATAGTATAAGTAATAAATACACAGAATAAAGCACAGTCCCAGCTCTTATCCTTAAGCAGCCTTCCTTTGATCTCTGCAATGGTCTCAGATTTCCCAAATTCACCTCTTTGTTGAACCTTGAACTCAGCCCCTTTGGGACTGTTCAGATTCAATTCAAGAATCTTGTGCTGTTGCCAGAACCCTGTTTGACATGCATGCCACCTCATCTGTGCCATCCTCTCCTTGGCCAACAGCCTCACAGTGACTTCTTCCAGAAACCACTACTGCCTACTCTAGATTGGCTTTTGGTTGGCAAACATAAGAACAAACACATCAGGAGATGGGATAAAATGTAAAACGGAAATCTGGCAATGGATAGTACTGATGGTTACACAACATGATTAGTATAACTGATGCCACTATAGTGTACACATGAAAAACGTTGAATTGTCAAATGTTATGTTATATACATTTTTGTTATTGTTATTGTTGATCCTGACTCATGGTGACCCCATGTGTACATAGTAGAACTGCTCCACAGGGTTTTCAAGGCGGAGACCTTACAGAAGCAGATCACCAAGCCTTCCAAGGAGCGTTTGGATAGGTTCAAACATCCAACCTTTCAGCTAGTAATTGAGCCCTTAACCATCTATCTGTGCCACCTAAGACTCCCAACAACAACAAAGTAGCCTGCAAGAAGGAAAGGATAAACTAGAGAAACATGTACCAACATACCAAAGAAGACAGGGTTGTCCCATTGGTCTTCAGATTAAAATGATTCCCAGCAATGGCGAGGGCCACATTCTGGTTAATTGCACTCCCTCCTTCCTGTTCTTCGTCTGAGCCACTGGAACGATTTTTTCCACCACGAGCATCTGCAGCTGTAAATAAAAATCTGTGGTGACACCAAGGCAAAGATAATATTTCCCCATGTGTTCCTTACCCAGTATCCAGCAAATCAAAGTTCCACATTATCTATGTTATTGTTGTTGTCAGTTGCAGTCGAGTCAATTCTGACTCATGGCGACCTTGCGTGTGTGCAGAGTAGAAGTGCTCCACAGGCCTTTCAAGGCTGTGACCTTTCAGAAGCAGATCACCAGGCCTTTCTTCAGAGGCACCTCTAGGAAGGTTTGAACTGCTAACACTTAACCATCTGTGCCACCCAGGGACTCACATTACTTATACTGACACTTATTAGTCACAGAAGTCAGCAGAACAATTTTAAACCTGAGGTTGAGCATTATTTAATCTGGTGCATTGTACTGGAAAAAAAACAGCCATTATATATATATATATATATATATATATATATATATATATACACACACATACATACATACACACATACATATATATATGTTGTTGTTGTTATGTGCCATTGAGTCGGACCCGACTCATAGCGACCCCTCCTTGGGTTTCCGAGGAATGGCTGGTGGGTTTGAACTACCAGCCTTCTGGTTAGCAGTCAAGTGCCTTATATAATACAGATAAATCTGCATCAGTATATAGGTATAAAGAGTCTGGTGGTGCAGTGGTTTAAACATTTGTCTGATAATCAAAAGGTCAGTGATTTGAACCCACCAGTTGCTCTGCAGGAGAAAGATGAGGCAATCTTCTCCCATAAAAATGGCAGCCTAGGAAACCCTATGGGTTAGTTCTACTCTGTTCTATATGGTTGCTATGAGTAGGAAGTGACTTGACAGCCAAAAGAGAAAAAAAAAAAAAAAAAGATCCCACATTTAAAAGGTTGGTTTTTAAGAATGCTACTAAAAATAAACACAATTTGTTGGAGCAGTTCTTGAGAAAATACCAAAACACTTGATGCCAATTTTATCATTAAAAACTCCTGTTTTATTCAACTTGTCAACATTATAATCATTTGGACCTTAAATTCTGTAGAAAAATAAGTAGGTAATCAACACTTTCAACTGCTAAAGGTGTAAAGACAGAACCTAATTTGTAAAACTAATACTTGGCTATTGTGTTTTAAGGCAATTTGGTTACACATGACACTTTGCATTTGCAGGACACAGGAAGACCTGAATGGCTCAGTTTTAAAGGTAACTTTCTGCAAGGACAGCTGAGCCCATATAAGCAGTCCCGAGACCCCAGTCCCCTCATCAGCCAAGAGAGCAGCATGGTCATTTCCAGGAACTTCTTTTGAGTTGAGGAAAAAGCAATGCCCACTCTCTGAAAAGATCAGAATCCTGTGTGTGGTCAGCAGGCAGAGAACCAGCTGCCATTGAGTCAATTTGGAGTCATGATGAGCCCGTGTGCAGAGCAGAACTGTCCTCCCCAGGGTTTTCACGGCTGAGACCTTTTAGAACCAGCTCACCAGACCTTTCTTCCGAGGTGGGCAGGAACTGACGACAGTCATTCAGTTAGTAGCTGAGTGTGTTAACTACTTTAACCACCCAGGGACTCCACACATATGTGCACATATGTAATTTCTAAGCAAGCATATGTGAGGTTATGTGCTTTTGGTTTTTTTTTTTTTTTTTTCAAATGGATGGAAGCTTGCATTAAAAAGGTTTTAGGGGTGTGATGGTTAATGTTGTGTCAACTTGGCTAGGTCATGTTTCTCGGTAGTTTGGCAAACATTATGTAATCACCCTCCACTGTGTAATCTGATGTGAGCAGTCAATCAGTTAGAAGGGGAGTTTCCTTGAGGGTATGGTCTGATCAATATACACGGATGTTCTGGCAAAGCTCACTCTCTCAGGATCATATGATCCTGCATATGCCTCATTACCCTCTGACCTCCAGTTCTTGGGATGTGAGCCAGTAGCCTGACCTGCAAGTTTTGGATTTGCCAGCTTCTGCCACCTGTGAGGCAGCAGCTCGCCATGTGACCTACAGATTTTGAGTTTATCAGCTCTGTAACCAGATTGAGTCAGGAGAAGCCTCCAGCCTGTTGTCTGATCAAAGGATGCAGGACTTGCCAGCCTTTACAGTTGTGTGAGCCATTTCCTTGGAATAAATCTCTCTATATAAATATTCATAAATATGATTCACTGGTTTTGCTCCCCTGGAGAACCTAGCCTAAGATGGGACCACTGGTGTAGAGAATTGCTCAAAAAACATGTTAGTACAGGAGCTAACGAGAAGGTCCACATTCTGCTGGGGGATGTGGCAGAATCTCCCATCAATCTAGAGTCCCTGGGTAGTGCCAATCATGAATACACTCAGCTCCTAACTGAGACACTGGCCTTTTTAATTCACCCAGAGACATCTCAGAAGAAAAGCCTAGTGATTGACTTAAGAAGGATCATGTTGTTTGCTGTTATATGCTGTGGAATCAGACCCGACTCATAGTGACCCCTCCTTGGGTTTCCAAGGCAGTATCACTACGGAAGTAGATTGCCCCATCTTCCTTCTGAGGAGTGGCTGGTGGGTTTGAACCGCCAGCCTTCTGGTTAGCAGTCAAGTGCCTTAGGCACTATACTACCAGAGCTTCCAAGAAGGATCATAGCCATTGAAAACACTATGGAGCACAGTTCTACTCTGAAACACAGGGGTTGCCGTGTGTCAGAGTTGACCCATCAATCCAAGGAAGGCAATAGAAGGTATCTTACCTGTGAAGTCATAGAACTGTGGCAAAGCATCCAAAATGATGCCAACCAAGGGCAGATAGAGGGCAGCAACTTTGACCTTCACCTCTGGCTTGACACACCGTGGATCCAGGTCATGACTGCTCAGCAGGCTGTGGATGGCACTGACAGCCTTCCTTTGCACTTTGCTGATCCTGGTGGCACAACACAGAAAGCAGAGGTTATGGTGCAAGGAAGCCAACCAAAGAGTTCCTGAACAGTAAGGACATTGGCGTGCTCCTAACAATGGGGAGACAATGTGAAAAACAGGCAGTGAAGGGTACAGGTTCATGGATTCCAGAACCAGACTGCCCGTGTCCCTGTCCTGGATCTGCACCATGGCATAATGTTCTCAGAGTGCATCATGCTGTAGCATGTGTCGGCACTTCTCCCTTTTGTACTACCAAATAATACTCCATTGTATGGATATACCACTTCTTATTTACCCATTCATCAGTTGATGGACATTCGGCTTGTTTCTATTTATTTATTTATTTTTTGCTATTATGAATCATGACTGCTGCTATGAATATTTGTATATAAGTTTTTGTGTGGACATGTTTTAATTTCTCATGGGTAGATACATAGGAGTGGAATTGCTGGGTCATATGGTATCTCCATGTTTAACCTTTTGAGGAACTACCAGATTGTTTTCCAAAGTGGCTGCATCATTTTACATTCTTACCAAAAATGGATGGGAGTTCCAATTGCTCCACATACTTATCAACATTTGTTATTGTTCTTTCTTTTTTTTTTTTTTTTGGCTGATAATCATATTTATGGGTGTAAAATGGTATCTTATTGTGGTTTTGATTTGATATGCATTTATATAATGACTAATTGAAGGTGCCTGGGTAGCACAATGATAAGGTGTTTGGTTGCCAACCAAAGGTCCAAATTTGAATTCACCAGCTGCTCTGCAGAACAAAAGACCTGGCTGTCTGCTCACATAAATATTGCAGCCTAAGAAACCCTCTGGGGGCAGTTCTACTCTGTCATACAGGCCTGCTATGAGTTATAATTGACTAGATGACACAAAACAACAACCACAGCTAATAACATTGAACATCTTTTCACAATTGGTCATCTGTGTATCTTCTTGGAGAAATGTCTATTCAAGTCTCTTGCCTATTTTTCAACACGTTTGTGTGTCATTTTTAATTGAGTTGTGAAGTTTCTTTATATATTCTAGATACAAGTCTAGAATAGTTGTATATATGATTTGCAAATGCTGTCTCCCATTCTGTGGGTTGTCCTTTCAATTTCTTGATGGTGTCCTATAAAGCACATAAGTTTTAATTTCAATAAAGACCACTTTTCCTTTGGTTGTTTTTGGTGTCTTATCGTAAAAATCATTGCCTAAATCCAAGCTCATGAAAACTATCCCTATGTCTTCATCTGAGAGTTTTATAGTTTTAGCTCTTTGATCCATTTTGAGTTAATTTTTGTGTATGGTGTGAGGTAGGCATCCGAGGAGTAGTAAATTACCTGGTACGGCTTTTCTAGCCATAAGTCTTTATAAACTCTGTGGTGGAATTTGCCATGAGCAACTGAGGAGCTCTTGATTGTTAAAGTTATCCACCTGGGGTATTTCTGTTGAGAGTGGCACAAAGCAATGTCCTGGGAAGTTCGCTCTCTCAGGTGCTTAGAATTCTAATGTTATGATTGGTTAGTTTGGCCACTCTGCCAGGATCAAAAGGAGCCCTATTAAAGGCAGAAGAAGTCTCTCTGACTTCTGGCTGAGAAAAACTTGCTGAGAGAAACGTGCTCCTGAGAGACACACACTGCTGAGAGAGAGATACTGAGAGATATGCATTGCTGAGAGAGAGACACCGAGAGACACGCACTGCTGGGAAAAGACTGAGAGAGACTGTCGGCTGAGAGATGGCAGACTGAAAGAGATTGAGCATGTTCCTGAACTTGAATTGTAGCCTGGTACTTCCCTAAGAAACCCCATAATTTGTGAGTTCTGTGTGGCCACTGCAGTGAATTATGAAACCCAGCAGAGAGGTGTGAGTGCTGCGGGAGGAACAGTAGGTGTCAGGGTTGATGAAAGGGCTGGAGGGAGGCAGCATGTCTGGCCTCACAGGGATAAACCTTGGGCAACTGATGGTGATTCTGTCTTCCTCTTGTGGGGTTATAGGAATTTAGAAGATGCAGCCTTCCTGCCCCTTTGACAGCATCCAATTTTATTCTTTTGCACATGGAGATCTAATTGTCCCAGCATCATTTGTTGGAAAGACTTTCACCACTGGATTGTTTTGGTATTCTTGTCGAAAAACAATTGACTGTAAACGTGAGGGCTTATTTCTGGATTCTTAATTGTATTTCATTGATTTCATAAAATATCTACCCTTATGCCAAAACCACATAGTCTTGATCACTGTTCCTTTGTAGTAAGTTTTGAAATCGGAAAGGGTATGTTCTCCAGTTTTGTTCATTTTTCAATTGTTTTCACTATTTTGGGTTCCTTGAATTTTCACATGAATTCTAGTATCAGCTTGTCAGTTTCTGCAAAGAAGCCAGCTGGGATTTTGATAAGAATTGCATTGAATCTGTAGATCAATTTGGGGAGTATTGCCATCTTAATAATTTTAAGTCTCCCACTACAAGAACATGTAGTGTTCCTCTTATTTAGATCTATTTCTTTCAATATTATTTTGTAGTTTTCAGTGTACAAGTCTTGAACTTCTTAAGTATGTTATTCTTCTTGATGCTACTTTAAACGGGATTGTTTTCTTAATTTCATTTTTGGATTGTTCATTGCAAGAGTATAGAAATAACTTGATTTCTGTATATTGATCTTGTACCCTACAACCTTGCTGAACATGTTTATTAGTTCTAATAGTTTTTAATGGATTCATTAGAGTCTTCTGTATATAAAAGCATGCCAGCTATGAATTGTTCTTGTTATTGTTAGGTGCTGTCGAGTCGTCTTCAACTCATAGCGACCCTATGCACTTCAGAACGAAACACCACCTGGTCCCGCACCAGCTATGAATGGAGATAGTTTTACCTCTTCCTTTTCAATCTGCATGCTTTTGATTCATTTTGTTGAATAACTGCCCTGGTTAGAACCTTCAGCACAATGTTGAACAGAAGTGGTGAAAACAGCCATCTGACTCTTGATCTTACTGGGAAAAGTCTTCAGTCTTTCACCCATGAGTATGAAGTTATTTGTGGGCTTTTCATCATTGCCCTTTATCAGGTTGAGGGGAATTTTGTTGACTGTTTTTATCATGAAAGTGTGCTGGGTTTGGTCAAATGCTTTTTCTACATTTATGAGTACAACAGTGTGGTTTTGTCCTGTCCTTTATTTTATTGATATGTTGTATTACTTTAATTGATTTTCAAATGTTAAACTAGTCTTGCATTCCTGTGATAAATCCCACTTGGTCATGGTGTATAATCCTTTTCACATGCTGCTGCATTCTGTTTGCTAGTAATTTGTTGAGAATTTTTATGTGTATATTCATAAGGGATTTTGGTCTATAGTTTTCTTTTCTTATGCTGTCTTTGGTTTTGATGTCAGGGTCATAAATGGCTTCACAGAATGAATCGAGAAGTGTTTCCTTCTCTTCTATTTTTTCGAAGCGTTTGTGAATAATTGGAATTAATTATTCTTTAAATATTTGGTAGAAAAAGTGAAGGAAGCCATTTGGACCTGAGCTTTTCTTTCTTGAGAAACTTTTTGATAATTAGTTCAAATTCAGTAGTTGTGTGTTTCTAGGAATTTGTCCATGTTGTCTAGATTATCAATTTGTTGGGATAAAATTGTTCATAGCATTCCTATATAATTCTTTCTATTTCTCTTAGGTGGGTAGTGATTTTTCCTCTGTCATTCCTGATTTTAGTGATGGAAGACTTCTTGCTTTTTTTCTAGGTCAGTAGAGCTAAAGGTAAAGAGTTCTAGGGATACTAACCAGAAGGCTGGTGGTTCAAATTCATCAGCTGTTTTCACGGCAGGAAGATGAGGCAATCTACTTCTAAGAAGATTTACAGCTTTGGAAACCCAGTGGGGTTGCTATGAGTCAGAATTGACTTGATGGCAGTGGCAGTGGGTTTTGGTTTTGGTTTATAGCTAAACATTTGTCAATTTTGTTGATCTCATCAAAGAACCAACTCTTGGTTTTGTTGATCTTCTCTATTTGTTTTTCTACTCTCTATTTTATTTATTCTGGGTCTAATCTTCATTAATTCTGTTCTCCTGCTTGCTTTGGGTTTAGTTTGCTTTTCTTTTCTTAGTTCAGTGCATATTCTTGTGATTTTTTTAAAAACCTATTCAAGAGGAATAAATTTAAATGAAACTGAAAATATTGGGCTGCATTTACAGTCAAAAGAAATAAGTTCTAATGTTGTCCACTGAAAGCCATGTACTGGAGTATTAATAGCAACTTTTTCCTAGTTCCATAAGACTGGAAGCAACCCAAATGTCTATTTACAGTAGACAGTTTGTGATCTATACATAGAAAGGATCAACAAAACTAAGAGTTGGTTCTTTGACAAGAATACATAGAATCAAAAGAAAATATAAACTACTGATAAATGCAACTACACTGAAAGATTGCACAAGCATAATACTCAGCAAGAGAATACATAGTTCAAAAATAAAACCAGCTGCCATTATGTTGATACCCACTCATGGCTATCCCATGTGTGTCAGAGTAGAACTGTGCTCCACAGGATAATAGATAGATAGATAGATATAGGTATAGATATAGATATAAGGAGCTCTGGTAGTGCAGTGCCTAAGGCATTTGCTAACCAGAAAGTTGACAGTTCAATCCCCCAGCCATTCCCTGGAAGGAAGATGGAACAATCTACTTCCATAATGATTTACCACCTTGGAAACCTAATGGGGTCACTATCAGTTGGAATTGACTTAATGGCAGTGAGTTTGGTATACATGTAATATATAAATATATTAAATATACTTGAAGTATGGTGTTAGCAAAGAATTTTTAATATACCATGGAACAAATCTGTCTTGGAAGAAGTACAGCTAGAATGTTCCTTAGAAGTGAGCACGGTCAGACTTTGTCCCATGTACTTCAGACATGTTATCAGGAGGAACCAATCCCTTGGAAAAGTAGAGGATCAGTGGAAAAGAGGAAGACCCTCAATAAGATGAATTAACATGGTGGCTGCAACAATG